TTTTATTTGGTTTTTACTTATATCTTATGTAATTTTATTTTACAGTTCCAATGTACAGCACTTTGTGTCAACTGTGGTTGTTTTAAAGTGCTTTATAAATAAAGTTGATGAATAAATAAAGTTGATGATTAATATAATTTAAACAGGTGAGGTACAGAAACATCCTTACCTGGACAGCTGTTATATTTGTCTCTGAATTCAAACAAAGTCCAGTAAAATAAAAATGTGTCATCTGCATATAATGACTTTTCTTTTTCCTCTTATCTTTATTCTGTACAACACAGGGTTAAGACAGCTGTTATGAAGGAGTAAATTATCTATGGAGACCAATGCTGTTCCTGTATCAGGCTGTTTATTTAACACTAGCGTGTATGGGGACTGCTGCCTCTGCTGGACACCAGAGGAACTGCAGCTTCCTGTTTCAGCTTGTTATTCAGTAGATGGCAAAAACTTGTAGGCTGTGTGCAAATGTGCACACTGATGATGATGATGATGCATGAACAAGAACAGCTGTGTCTCCAGATGTTTAACTGTAAAAGGGGCTGAGTGGGTGTGGACCCCACAGCTTCGTAAATCATCACAAATATTCAGGTGCTTCTTCTCACAACTAACATCTGATTATGAAATGATGCAACGCCACAAAAAAGTTTTGAGTTTAGTTTTATTGAAGCCACACTCTCTGCTGCTGCTCAGCCTCCCACCTGCTGTGTGACTGAGTTCAACATCACAACTGTGGCAGCTCAGCAGAGGTCACGAGGCTCTGCAGCATCGAGGAAACAGAATGACTCAGCAGGACCGACTGAGCAGCAGGTTCATGAAACCACACAGAAACAAAACAGGAAGTACACACTGTGGCCACGATTACCAAACACACATACACACACACGGTTAGTCTGATCATGCACACACGCTCCGAGTCTCTGCCTCCCTCTGGTGGTGAAAATGAGAACAGCATTCGAGGAAGATGCTGACCTGGTTTCTGATCAGACAGAAAAAGCCAGAAATGTTCCCTCTGTGGTTTCCGTGTGTGTATGGGTTCAAATATCTACTTCCTCCACATAGGGAACGCTGCAGCTTCATCTGCACGTCTGTGGAATTAAAACTTCCCAAAATAACTGAGGAATGAACCACTCCCCTCATCCTAAACCGGGCTCTGAGGAGGGGAAATCAGGTAAATGTTCTCAGGCTGAGGTTTCAGTCCATCTGACTAACCCTGAGGACATCTGGTATTTTAGGAGAGAAGCATCCTCCTCCTCCTGACATTCAGCCTGATGGGAACAGCTGAGCAGCTCTGACTCTCGGCCTCCCTCCCTCTGCTCCACGCTCACAGCAGCTGAGGCTGCTCAGCCCCACAGGAGGAGGCCAGGAGAGAGTCTGTGATGCTCAAACATTCAAGCTGTTGTTTTCTGCAAAACTACTGGAGCTCAGCTTCCTGTTTTTGACCTGAGAGCCAATCAGGAGGCTCAGAGATGCTTTCAAATGATTCTGACCCAAAAGTGCGAGAATCAAGAAATGCTGCTGCAGCTTTAGTCCAGCCGAGCAAACGCCACAGATGTGACCCGCACTGCCTGAGCCATATCCATAGCAACAAGCATCGTCAGGTGAATGTGAATGCAGGAGGAGGTTATTCTGTCCTGACCCATTTCACTCCTACGTAAAACTCTGGAATCAAAGTACAACAAAATTTAAATCCGCTCATAGGCAAAGCAGAAACTGCCGCTGTCCTTCGCCCCTCTCCCAGCTCCTCCTCCTGCTGAGTCTTGTTCTTCCTCGGCCTCGGAGACGTTTCACATTTACATCACATTACTCAGTCTGAGATGATGAGAGCGCCGTGTACCTGTCAGCTCTGCTGCAGGTGAAGAGGGTTCACACACACACACACACACACACACACACGTTACAGTTAGCTTGAGAGAGCTCACACCCTGCATGTATGCAGCATCACTCTGAGGTTCATGGGAAATGAGCGCTTCACCGTTCAGCAGCCATGAAAATCGTCCTTCATCTTAAAAACAACTTTGTGTCCTCGCCGCACACCGAACATCGTCCAAATGTTCAGGCTGTTTGAGGTGACACGCCGTCAGAGCTTCATGGCGTTACAGATGCCATCTTTAAAGAGCATTCTTGGATGATTGTGCATGTTAGTGCAGAGATCACTACAGACCACTAAACCTTCATTATTAAAGCTAAAGTCAGTAAACTTCATTTGCTGCTCCTGAAGCTTCGATCCTGTGCACGCTGCACAGGAAGTGGAAGCAGGAAACGCCACAGGAGAAACTTTACACTTCCATTCGTAAACTGGATAAAGTGGCAGGATTAACACTGAGACTGTAAACAGCTGATCCTGGGAGGCTCTTCCATCCATCCTCTCATCTGCACCAGCTGCAGTTTCCACCCCCTAAAGGAAGAAGCCAGGGTTCGGGGGCAGCCCCGCTCCCACGGGCATGATTGCCAGGTAGTTGGAGGGCACGTAGCCTCTCTGACCTCCTCTGACCTCCACCAGGCTCCACTCGGGGCTCCCTCGTTTGTCGTGAGGCTCCAGGACACGAACGGGTTCTCCGGCCCGGAAGGAAACTTCGTGTTTCGATCTAGCCGTGAAGTCGTAGGCGCCCACAACCTGGAAACATGAAAAAAAAGCAGCATTTAACACGTGATCCACGTGAAGGCTGTTACTGGGTGGACCAAACACTGTAAACACTGACAGCTTAGACAGGATCCAGCATCAACAACAAGCTGCCTGTCTTTAAATCACCTGCTCAGGTAGAGCCGCTCTGTGTCACATTACTGTTCAGGAGCAGACCGCCGAGAATCCGGCGCTCCATCAAGCAGCGTATCAACGCCTACGAGGATGTGACAGCATCACATTTGCTGTGCACAACAACAAATTCAGTCTTACTGTCGTGACCAGAGCCATCCTCTGTGCTGCTGCATGCTGGGACGGCCAGTAACAGGCGGAGCTGGACGCTGTCAAGGTGGAGAGGAGGGTGTTGTCCAAGACAAGGACAACACCTCCCACCCTCGCCACAACGTGCTGGCCAGTCACAGGAGCAAACACAGTCAGAGACTGACATTACCTATAATGCACCACTGAACGACACAGAAAGTCATTCCTGCCCGTTTGTACATATCAGAGCGAACTTTGTAACATGTTGTATTATTTAATTAGTTCAGTCTGTTCTTATTATCTCGGGGCGACTGTCGGGATTATTAAAGTATTCTGACTGCAGCTGGATGATCAACCTGCAGTCCTGCGCTGGTGGACAGCACGTGGCCTCCGTCTCCTGGACAGTCTAATGCAGAGGAATTCAATTACCTGGAAGCAGGGCTGACTCATGGGCAGTGGGGCATTGCCCGCCGGGCTGTAGGAGTGTCTTCTGCGTGTGGTCACATCTTCTGTCAGGCTCGGGTGTGGTGAAGGGGGCGGGTCGTCTGTTGGCTGGTGATAGCGAATGAGTTTCGAGGCAGCAGCGTAGCCTCGCTTCCCTGCGTGAAGACGTAAATATAGTTTAACATTCATTTGTTCACAGTGTCAGACTAACCCGGTTTGCACAGCTGCTCGTCTGTTTCAGTTGCAATAACAGCGGCTCACCAGCAGATGGCGCCACAGTTCTTCCTCTCAGGTTTTAGTGCAAATGTCATAAAAAGTCTCACCTCCTGCATCGACCAGCCACCTCCTTCTGTCTCCACGGCTGTCGGCCTCGCTGATCACCGCCACCAGCTCGCCCTTAGTCAAGTTCAGGTCCAGGTCCCGGGTGCCCACGACCGTGCTCATCACCTGGAAGATCTTTCCAGAGCCGTGCTTATCCGTTAGCTGCTTCAGACGGCGCTGAGAGGACGGGCTGAGAGGCTGAAAGACACGAGCAGACGTCAGATCTCAGAGAGGGCAGAGCTGCTGAATTACTCACACGTGCTCAAATTTACCTGGAAGGTGTTCAGAAATGAAAACAATGACTCAGAAAGAGACACTTCTGGTTCTGCAGCTGCAAAGTTGAAGAACCAGAAGTGGCACATTCACCGCGTCCTCGTCTCTAACTCGTTATCGCCTGTGATGATGATTCGCCACATTCTTCAGCCAGAACCTTGTATTATAACCTCCAGCTAAGTGTGACATGACTGGAACTTCAGATCTTTACTGGGACCAGCAGCTGAACCAGTTCACACGAAACACGCGGCAGAACAGGAAATACAGGTGGCGTTTTTTTAGACAGATTACTTCAGGAACGATGCTCAACGCTCACACAGCAAACTCCACCGCCCCCACCGAACACCAACAATCTCAGGAAACTGAAGCTCAGACTGGGAGCGTCGGTGTGACACCATCGCGTCGGTGTGACACCATCGCGTCGGTGTGACACCATCGCGTCGGTGTGACACCATCGCGTCGGTGTGGTTAAATATTCGGAGAAGGATGTTTGCTGGATGATAAAATCACTGTTATATTTTTTATTCTGACCTCTCAGCAGTAACCAATCAGCTGAAACATGTCAAACATGTCTGAGGTCAGCTGAGTGGTCCACTGTTGCCCATAGTGCTCTGTAGCTTACAGTGTAAAGTGCCCTGAGGTGGTTTGCTGCTGTATAAATGAATGAAAGCCGATCTGAACGCTAACCTGGGAATCTGGAGCGTTGAGCTTGTCCTCCACCATTCGACATAAATGCTGCAGCCTCCTCGCTCCTTCCAGCACCGAAGACTCTGCCCACTCCCAGAATGCACCAGGAGAAAGGCTGCTGTGAGGGAGCTGCAGGGAGACACGTGAAGGATGAGCACAGATATCCAACGTGTTTTTGTGCATCAGCCTGTCTGTAAGGACGTCACCTGCTGAGCGAAGCTGTGAAACAGCTGCTCCATGTCTGCTGCGAGATCTCTGTGCAGACAGCTGAACGTCCCCAACGTGCTCCACATCATCTGCAGAGCCAACCCGTTAAACTGAGGGAGCTCCGTCAGGAGCAGTGTGTTCAACGTCCTGTCAGGAGGAGAGGGGAGGAGAGGAGGTCACTCACAGCTCCAACCATCAGGAACCATCAGAAACCAGTTCCCACCTGTACGTGTTGGCCACAGCCTGCTCCTCATAGCTCAGGTTGGGTTTTCCTTCGATCACCCCGTAGTCGAGCAGCTTGTCGAGTCTCTTCCTGATTAGGTTCCTCGGGCCCACCAGGAGGTCCCGGAGAGCACAGAGAGGCTGGTGGATCAGCTTCCTCATCCTCTTCTCCTGGAAGAAGGAACAAAGAACAGATCGACATCAGCAGACTGTCGTTCACTGCATCATCCTTTCACAGGGGGCAAAATATGCATGTCCACCTCTGCAGGCGCTCAGAGACGCAGCGGTCTGTGTCTGACCTCTGATGTTCTGAGCGTGTGCAGAGGAGATCGGAGGTGGGATGCAGGATGCAGACCATCCATCAATCAGAAGCTGTTTACACAGAGAGAAGTCTGTGATGTAATCTGTAAAGTTTGGTGCTGTGTCTGTGATCGCAGCTCATCCTGGATGATCATCTTAATTGGACACGAGCCGACAGGATGCAGTGCTGCGACATTTCCTGCACCTGTAAAGACTGCAGCACCGTTCTCAGAGTTAATCACTCACAAACATCGGGAGGATCCACTGTCGGAGCGCTGTCGTGATCTCCTTGTAGCAGATCGGTGCCTTTTCACCATCCATGTCCAAGTCAAAGTCCTCCGTGCGGCAGGACAGGAAGCCCTGCAGAGCAACCACACACAGCTGAGTGCTTGGCTGTCCAAACACGACTCGCCGCCCTCAGCACGTTATTTTACAAACCAAACATGTACAATCAAACACATCAGAGTGAAGCTGAAACAAATAAACGTTTCTGAGCATTTCTTAAAGTCGGTGTTTGTGCTGCAGACGGAGAGCAGGAGATGTGGGCGGGTCGTCCTCGCTAACGTCTAAACAAGCTAAACAGCAGAGAGATACAAAGAGCTGAGTGTTGGTGTGAAGGACAGAATGAGGAAAACAGAAAGGTACACAAGCATGTGTGTGGCCTCCTGACAGAGACTCACAAACTCATGACTGCACGTCTGTAATTATAGCGTCTGACCGTGAGTCACAGCCTGAAACAGTGACTGCTGCAAATTTATGTTTTACAAATGAGTTTATTCAGGTTTGATGTTTTAGTCACTAAAGTCCACTAAAGCTTTGAAGTCGAAAGCCAAGACAAAGTGTGAGCGTGAGTTTACCTGGAGGTGCTGCAGGTACATCTCCACGTTCTCCAGCAGCTCCAGGATGCCGTTTTCCAAAACATAGAAGAATCCTTCCAGGGCATCAAATTCCTCGTCCACCAGCTGCAAGACATCCAACACGCCAGTCTAAAGAGATGCTCTGAGCTCACACACTGCTGCGCTACATAAACCAGCTGTGTGACACACTGCTTTAAAACGTGTAGTAATGGGGTCAGTGTCAGTAGGAGCCAGAGGTTCAGAGAAGACCTGCTGTTTGTGAGGCGCAGCCAATCAGAAGACATTTGTCTTATAGGAGGAGCACCAGGATGACGCACAGAAGGATTACTGTGAACTGTGGATCATGCAAAGCTGCTCTGGTGGAGTCCAGGAGTGAAAACAGCAGGTTACAGCTCATGCAAAGCCTCAGTCAATCATACACTGTAATGATACATGTGGAAAGATCAGCAGGGGGAGCAGGCTGCAGACAAGAAGTGTCTGATCAGACCTTCCACTCTCCCCAGTGCACAGCTGTGCTTCCACCTAACAGCATTTGGTCGATCAGACCTTCCAGTGGTCACCTGAGCTTCAAACGGGAAGCTCACCACAGCTGAATAACACCACCCATACTTAAGGCCCGGTTGGAGTGGAGCGCTGTACTCACTAGTGTTAGTGTAGCCCGGCTCAGACTGATGCTGATCTCCCTGAGCCTTGCTCTGACGTCTATCTCCATCTCCCTTGTACAATCCGTCTCTGGACCCTTCCCAGATGAGCGTGAGCGTGAGCGAGAGTGAGCACGGTGTGGACTCGGACTGAGCGTGCGTTCCCCTTTTTCCCAGCCCCCTTCTCCCTGCCTCACTCTATACATGTACACATCACCGGTGTTGTAAATAAACCCACTTGTCTGATTGCACAGTTCAGAGTCCAGCAGCAATAAACCTGACAGTAACTTACTGTGAGACATCGATTGTAATTTTTATACTCATGGAGGACGTGTGCTGTACAGTCACTCTGGCTCGGACGTTCACACCTACTGTAAACACAGCAGTGGCCTGGGGAGAGTGGGAGGTCTGATCAGACACTTCCTGTCTGCAGCCTGCTCCCCCTGCTGATCCTTCCACACGTATGATTACAGTGTATGATTGACGGAGGCTTTGCATGAGCTGTAACCTGCTGTTCTCACTCCTGGACTCCACCAGAGCAGCTTTGCATGATCCACAGTTCACAGTAATCCTTCTGTGCGTCATCCTGGTGCTGTCTGACACAAGCTGTTTTAGCTCCTCTTCCTTTAAGACAGCATTCTGCTGATTGGCTGCTCCTCACAAACATGTGGGCGGAGCTTCCTGTGGATGAGGCTCAGGGTTCGGCCTACCTTAGGTTTGAGTCCGGCCTCATGTTTGATCTGCTGACCGAGCCTGGCGGTCTTCTTGGCGATGCTGTGGGTGTTGAGGCGCACGATCTTGTCCTTGATGGTCAGCATTTCCGTCTTCCTGTATTTGTCAGCTAGAAAACACGAGTGACAGTTAAAACCTTCTGCTTTCTCACGCCAACATCCGGCCCCATAAGTCACGCTCCTCACCAACTTCCCGGAAGCGCTTGTATTCGTTGATGCGACAGTTTAAGGCGACAGAGGTGTGAGCGGTCTGCTCCAGCAGGGCGTAGGCCGGGTGGGAGGCGTCGGTGTGCTTCTGGATGGTCTGCAGCAGCAGGGGGTAGCGGGCAATCCGCTGCACGGGCATCACCAAAAAGAAGCTCAGTGACGTGGCATTGACATCAGGCCTGAAGGTCAAGAGAGACACAAGACTCATCAGTCAGCTCCTCGGCTCTGAGCACTTCCTGTCCAAGGCGAGACGAGGCGCCATAAACTTACGCCGCAGCCTTGATGACTCTGACAACCTCATTCCACAGAGCCTCCTTCTGTTTGTAGCTGTTCTCCACCTCCGTCACATGATTGTAGTGCGCCAGGTACTCCTTATAGGCGGCTTCCATCTCTGATGACAGGCTGAGAAATGAGTCACCTGTCAGCGAAGGAAAACACACCTTTACTCCTTTACAGGAAGCAGCAGAAAGGGAGTTTTAACATTCATCACGGGAAACGGCATTTTCACTGTCTACCTCCCGGGTTTCTCGATGATGATCATCTCGTGTTCATCCAACAAAAACTGTGAGAAGTTAGAGAAACATCAGCTTATCAGACGTCAGAGCGCCACAACGTCTGACTTTAAGGTGGACTTTACATGCTGAGCTGGTCTGTGAAGAAGAGTCTTCCCCGGAACAAAAACAAAGAGGTGACACCTGTGTGATTCAGGAACTCACCTGAGCTGAATCACATTACTCCATCTTTAAATTTGTGTCAATAAAGAAAAAGGATAAGAGTCAGAAAAACAACAAACAACAACCACTTCCTGTTTGACTTCCTGTTTGACTTCCTGTTTACAACGACAGAAAGACTGAAGCTGTGAGGGTGACACATCAAAGTAAAGGTCTGGTGTCAGGTCGCTTACAGAGACTCTGCAGGAAGTCAGGCTCTCCAGACTGAAGCTGCTTCTGGTCCAGCAGGCTCAGGAGACGGCTCGATACGTCGATCACCTCCTCGATGTGCAGAAACATGCTGTCCAGTCCAGCTGGAGGCGGCTTCGGTCAGAGCAAGTGGAGGGGAGACAGGAAATAAGGGTTTTTACCTGATATCAGACACTTCTTTAACCCCAAAGTCTGAAGGTTCCCCATTACAACCCATACGCTCCCATTATAACCCAAATTACCCATTATAACACATTGTGTTCATGTATTTTGAGTATATAAAAACATCTGAGGAACGCTGAAAAAGTGATGGGGATGTGCTGCAGCAGCGTCAGAGCTTGGCTGACCTTTGACCTCTGATAATAAAGGTAGATCTGTGCTCATGCTGGAAAAACGGGGCAGTGGGTGCGCTGGGCGCTAGGAGGCTGAACAATGCACAATCCAGCGGCTCATCTGTCTCACAGAGCCGCCATTCACTCACGCCTTCGCCCTGCTCCCTCGCTGTGTTTCCACAGCTCAGCTCTCCTTGCCCATAAAGCTTGATTTCATTATGTTTTATGAGGCCTCATTTCATTAGCACAGTAATAATAAGCTGTCATTTAACAGTACTAAGCAACAGAACAGGCATAATGAAAAGCAGGTGATAAGAAACCACTGAGAGGGCGCAGGATGCTAAAACCCTCACCTGCTGCACAGGTGAGCAGCAGCTTTACGTTCAGCCACTTTCTTTTTGCTTCTTTGTATTGTCACTATCAGAGTTTGTCACTGTGAGTGTATACACCTCCCTGCATTTATTCACTGCTTATTATTAATCTCTGTCCCCTCCCTCAGCCCTTCTTCCTCCCCAGCTGGATGAGCTCTATGAACAAGTGCTTGTTCTCAGAGGTCCTTTTTGGGGTGTTCTCTGTATTATTATATATTATCATTATTTAGCTTACAATATAAAGCACATTGAGGCCACTGCTGTTGTGATTTGGTGCTATATAAATAAAGCTGAAGCAGTTCTGTATGATTCACAGTCGATAATAATCCTTCTGTGTCTGATCCCAGGGCACAGTGCAGGCCCTAGAGTCGCCCTCCGTCTGAAACAAGCAGTTTGGCCCCTCCCCCTGCTTCCTGCTTCAATGGGCAGGTGTGTTCCTAGGTCCTACCTGTAGCTGCTGCTGCAGGTTGCTCCTGATGGTCACGGTGCTGAGGTGCAGCAGGCGCAGGTAGCTCCTCTCAGACTCCACAAGCTCCTGGATGGCCAGTTGTTGCCTCTGGGCCGCAATCTCCTTGGCTGCTGCCTCCTCCTCCTCGGCCCTCCTCTGGGCCTCTCTGGCCTCCTCTTCCAGCCTCTCCTCTGATAACGAGCTCTCCTCTGAGAAACTGTCCTGAGAGGAGAATCTCCGAGCAGCTTTTCCATCTTCAGGTGGCGCCTCCACCACTACAATCACCCCTGACTCAGGCGTCTTCTCCTCTGAGATGAACTCTTCCCCTCCAGTTTGATCTTTGCTGCTTCCAGCTGTCTGACCTGCAGCTCCCAGAGGAGACCGAGCAGACGAGGCTGGTTTAGGGAGAACCAGTGGGAAGGACAGCCTTCTGGGCACCTCCATGATGGAGATGGCTGTGAAAGAAACAGACTGTCAGGTATTTCATTACATGTCTGAGCATCTTTGCTGTCATCAGTCTGCTCTGGAGCTTGCAGAACTTTACATTCCCTGATGACTGAGAGGACGGCACGCTGTCTCCATGGGAAATAACAGCAAATGACAAAGACTCACACAGACGTCCTCAGCCTGACACAAACAACCAGGTCGCCAAACAACAACTTCAGCTGGAAGGAGAGTTTTCAACCAATCAGCACTCTGCTCACACGCAGCATCATCATTCACAGGAAGAAAAGCACAGAGACGGTTGCAGTCGCCGTACAAACACAGGGCACCTACACGTCATTTAAACTAGTGTACTACACCACTGTTAATCAATATAGATCATCAATAACTAATAAAGATAACTCTGAACTACAGACGACAGAAACTGAAAAAAAAGATTTTCCAGCACACACACACACTGAATAAATGACTGAGGAAGTGTGTCTGCACGTCTTTCAGTTTCCTTGAGAGGTGAAACGTCTGCAAACTTAAGAAGTCCAGACACTTTTCTCCCCGAGCTCCTTAGACTGCGATGACCTGGATGACTGAGAGCTTTCACAGATACTCAGGAAGTGTCCACCCCCCACCCCCACCCCACCCCACCACCAAGGCTGGGACATCTCGGGGGGCACGGTGACCCACAGAGGGGATTACTGATATTTAAAATCCTCAGTCTAAACAGCCCCAAAGCACTGCCTCTGATGGTAAACTCCTTCACCCTCAGTAGAAAACCGATGATTCACAAATAATCCTGATCACCTAAAACCCTCAGACCAGGTCTGAACCGGGTCAGAGCCGTTTTTATGCAGGCGGGGACAAACTGAAGGAAGCACATGCTCACCTTTAACCCCAAAACGCTGCGATCCCCTCAGCTCCGATCCTCACCCAGCTGCAGCATCCTCGCTCACTCCTCTCCCCCGCCGCACTGAAGCAAAGTCTGCTGCAAGGACAACACACAGACAGACACACACTCACAGAGTGTAACTTTTTCCACTGACTCACACACACAGGCTGTGTGTGAGGAAGGGGGATGGGAGTGGAAAAGAAGGTGGGAGGGCTCACACAGGACAACACACACACTCGTGCTGCTGAGTAAGCTGAGTGACTGCAGCAGCTGGTGGGGAGAGGAAGTGGCGCTCACCCAGACAGAAACTGATTGGCTGATAGATCTTCAGACTGAAGGGAAGGACCAATCAGAGGACATGTTGATGAAACGCGGTGGGGTCCAGGCAGCAGAGCTTCAGGCAGCAGAGGCTGAAGTTTCCCTCTCACAGGAGACAAAGTGCTGTGGGTCCTCCTCCCACTCCTGCTCCTCCTCACAGGGATCACTCAGATTCTCTGAGAACAAACAGGGTTTACATTTACATTTAGGTCCTCTCTGACCTCTGACCCTGACAGGAAGTGAACACCACCCCAAACATAAAGACTTTATCCTGTATTAAAGGGTGAGCGAACTGCACATCCAGACTCTAACAGAGCAGCTTTGCCTGACTCGCAGTTCAGAATAATCCTTCTGTATCTGATACTGCTTCATCCTGTGTGTGAAAGAAGCTGCTTTAGCCCCGCCCCCTTCCAGACGTCACTAGAGGGCAGTGCAAACACGGCAGGCCGGGTGGGGTGACCAGGAGCAGTAGGCTGACAGTAAGGGGGATACGTTTAGAAACAGAGAGTCGGATCTGAGGTCTGCAGCACAAAGCAGGACTTCACCTGATCCAGGTAACCCCAGTAACTCCAGGTTTCTGTGAAGGGGGTTAAAAAAATAAACTGATGCTGTGAACCGAACCTGCTCCAGATTAGCGATCAGCGGGTATGAAATCCCCACCCACCAGCCAATCAGATCTCAGGAAAACAACGTCCCCGTTCCTAAGGATCCCTCAGAGCGTCGACACCAGCAGGTCTGAAGTCTGTGTGACTCCGAGTGACACATGTTCATTCTCAGTCACAACTTTGATGTGATTCCTTTTGGGTTCAGTTTCTGTTTCATAACCTTTAACATGCGATTCGGCCCTCACACGCACACGTGCCGCGTTTCTAACGGTTACTGACTTTACAGACATTTATTTGATAAAATGCCTGAATGATGGATGGTTTCCTGTCCAGGCTTCAAACTTTATTAACACACACACTGATGCAGAGCTGCTGACACTGACCTCTGAGTCGTCTTGGTTTTATACTTTATTCTTCTCCTAACATCACTGTGATTGCTCAGATTCCGCCAACTTTCAGGTGAGCGCCCTCGTGCCTGGATCAAGAAAGCCGTGTTCAGTCAGCGGGCTGGTAACCGACCTGATCTCTGACGTCAGGATACCCGGGGAACCGAGAGGGAACGGTGGACTCACCTCGTAGCGCACACCATCGTCCTTCCTCAGTGACATCATCCAGGTCCAAGGGCAGGAACAGCTGACAGAAAGCGCCTCTCACTCGAAGCTTTCACTTCAGTTTATTATTCCACAGACTTGGTGTGCGGCGCAGGTTCACACAGCAGCTGACTGACAGCAAACATCTGGAACCTTCTCAGCCCGAGCTTCAGCCTGATGACCAGCGTGTCAGCGGGAATAAACAGGAAGACGTTTTCGTGCCGCAGCCCGACAGGCTGACGGGATTCACAGCGGCGTGTTTGGGTGAGTGTGCAGGGCGGGAGCGGCTTATCCTGCTCATAACATCCTCGGAATGTGGGCGAGGAATGCTGCGGGTCCGGACTCGGTCAGCTGATCGGCTGACGGATTCAGGTGTGCTGCAGGAAAAGAAAGGCTTAAAAGTGACGTGACACTTCAGGCATTCACCACCTGCAGAGCAAACACGCTGCTCAGAGTCCAGAGCTCGTACGCTTCGTACCTGGAAAGCTTTCAGAGCCGTGCACATTCCAAGCCGGGATTAGGCCACAACTTCATATTAAATCACAGCAACAATGACAAACCTGAGAGTGAAACATGACACAGACAGGCCTCGGGTCAGAGCCGTTTTTATGCAGGCGGGGACAAACTGAAGGAAGCACATTATCCTCTCGTTCAGCGAGAGGTTTCACTCAGCTGACAACGTCTACCTGTGAGCTTCCTGGGACGGACCTCTACATCAGCAGCAGATCCAGGGTTCCTGTCTCTTCTGCGGTCACACTCTCCTGTCAGGCACGTCCAGTCGCCTCTTTGGGTCCACGGTGACCACGACCGGTGTTCCAGATCTACTGGCGTTTAGATCAACTGGCGTTGGTCGAACAGATGTGTGGCAGTCTTGCGTTTCAGGAGCTGCTACCGACAAA